GTATACTCATCTCTTTACATCTGTGTGTATAAAAAGCACAAAAACATAACTGCGTCACACGGCATAAAGTTAGATAATAAATATTTAAAAACACAAAAAGTCCTTTAAAAACAACACAAAATCATTTTTTAAATCAGTTAGTGTAAAAAGAGTGTTTCAGCTCTTTATCTCAAAACTCCAAACTTGKTGTTTTGTGACTCACAATCTCAATCCCGATATGTGATAGATTATGTGAACGCGCATGACATGTTGAGTTATTTCACGCGCGTGCAGCTGCTCAGAATGTGACCCTAAAAGGATCATATTTGGTGTCAGTAAACTTTGAAGTAAACACGCTGAGTTAGAGGACAGTCAGAGTCCTTTCATCAGACTATTGTTGGACAGAAAATCAAGCTGAGCTGTTTCAAGTTTAGACACAACGGATGCTGCAGTCAGTGTGTTTTTCCAACATCACACACACACTCGTGTGTGTGTTTCTGCAGGACCGGACAGCGCACACATAGACTCATGCACACACACTGAGACAAAACAAGCTGCAGGTATCGTGTTGGAGCATGTGATGGTTTGTTTAGAGTTAGGCGTGAAAATCAGGAATAAAATGCACGAATTTAGAAGTGTTTAAATGCACACACACACACACACACACGCACAGGAACACACGCGAGCTGGAGAAGAAGACCAAAGCCACACAGTGCTCAGAGACAAAGAACTCCTTCTGCCTGAACCAGCAGATACCTTTGTGTCTGTGTYTATATCCAATACAGAAATCTGCTGAGAACAATCTCAAATCAAATTAATAAATATTAAAATACATATATAATTGTACAACTCYAACCCTGAAACTGTATTTGTAATCTGTGGTTTGGAGAACAAAGGGAGATTTGTTGGGGCGTTTGCTGCTGTCTGCAGGACGCTAGATGGCACCAGAGCCTTTGGTTAGGAGAGTTGCTGCTGCAGGACCTGAGCCGAAACTGCACCGAGCCCGGGTCAGGACCACCTCAGCCCCTAATGCTCGAGCTCACAATTGTTTTACCAAAAACTTAAGAAATTACAGAAACATCAATAGTTAGACCTGAAAGATGTGCGCGCTTCATTTCTTTCAAAAATGTTGCAGATAATAAAGATTTTCTGCAGCCGTTAGAAAGTTATTTTATTTTTTTTTAATTTCTATTTCAGTAGTAATATTTACTTCTCATTTTAGAGACAGAAGGGAGTCAAGAACAGTGACAAAAAGAACCAAATGAAATCAACTAATAAAGAAAATTAAAAAGTGGCTGCATGCTTTTAGACTGATGTGTATCAGCATATGTTTGATTAGGTTGCTTTTCTTAAAAAATAGGTTACAACAATATTTTCCTTATTTGGTCTGAGAGGGTTAAATAAAATATCTTCACATTTTTAGCTCAAAGTGAAATATTTACTAAAGGTTTGCCTCCTCCATAAACTAGAAAATAATTATTCTGCTCTCAGCAGTTTGTAACTTTTCACAAAACAAAAACAAAATAAAATAAAACGTTTATTTATTTTATGTGTAATTTTCATATAAATTATTTAATTTCATACCCTTATGTTTTATGTCTCACTATTACGTTTAACTGAAGAAAGTCACGTTTTGCTTTAAAAAACAAATGTAGGTCAACAAAAAAATATAAATGAATAAAATAATAATAAATACATAACAGAAAGCATTTTTTCCTTGTTTCTCAGTGAACAGTTGGCTCTTTGAGCGCACTGTTTGGAAATAAGCAAATTAGAAAAAAAACATCAGCAATATAAGGAACATTTAATACACGAGCATTTTACAGGCGCGGAATGATACCCCCCACCCCCCATACACACACACACTGAGTAAAATAAACCAGAGTTAATTAGCTAAAGTGGTATAATAGTTTCACACAAATGTCTTGGAAACTAATCTGTTGTGTGCGTCTGTGTGTGCGCGCACATGCGTGTGAAGATATTCCCAAGAGGTGTTTGGTATCTGAGACACCAAGATCAGACAGACAGACAGACAGACAGACAGACAGACAGACAGACCTGTCTGAATGGTTCGGGGTGTTTGCTGCTCAGAAACTCCAGAAAAAACCACAAACACCTCCCCCTCCTCCCCGTGAAGGAAATGAGAAGGGAAATAAACGCATAAAAGTACACACACACACACACACACACACACACACACGGTGATCAGCTGTTAAAGTCTGGGTGAAGCACAAAGATTGTAAGACCCGCACAGAGCAAACATGGTTTCTCCTCCTGTCCTCAGGAGCAGCAGCTGACTCGTCTTCTGGGGGTCTGACTGTGTCATGAACGTGTCAGATCCGGACCACCTGCCCGAACATTAAAGCCATGATTACATCCCCGCAGTTCTGTCCGGATCTCCAACCCGTCAGATAAAAAAAAAAAAAAAACCAAAACAGCCTCTCGTCCGTTAATCCGCAGCACTCCAGAGGCCTTTTCATCTGGGCTCATCCATCACTGAGGCTAATCTGAGAAGCAAACTAACACCTAATTCACACCGTCTGAAGRAGCAGAAGCACAACTCCTTTCTGCGTCTTCCACTCATTTATCCGCGTGCGGGAGAAGGCGCGTGACAGGATCTTACCGTGGCGTCGACGACTCCTCCATCCGCGGACGCGCACACCTGCGGCTGCCTTCGGGTCCGGGCTGCGCCGGGCACGGCAGCGCAGGAAGCCCGGAGGTGCAGGTGAGGAGTGGAAGAAGCCCCGGATGTCACCAAGTTACTGAACCACTTCTGCCTTCTTCATCGCGCGCCGCCTTCTCCTCTTCTTCATCATTGCATCTAACATCCAACTGAAACCAGTCAAACTAATGAGCCACCGGGTGGGGGGTGCAGCGCCCCCCACCATATTGACTTGTCCCCACCTTGGTCTGTGTTTCAGCTCAGACAGCAGCAGGAGCAGGAGCCATATCGGAGGAGGAGGAGGAGGAGGTGGAGGAAGGCGGGTTGTTGTCAGCGTCTCTTCCTGCCGCTGTGTTGTTGTTTCTCAGGAGGCTCCTCGCTTTAACGGGTCCTCTCATGGCGGAGGATGTGGGGGGCTGCGGGCGTCTCGCGAGCCCCGGTTCCGCCGGAGAGGAGAAGAGAGGAGAAGAGAGGAGAGGAGAGAGGAGAGGAGAGCCGGGGCGCCTGCCCGGCCGGAGAGCAGCACTGCCTGCTGCAGCGAAGCCACATGGGAAATCATAAAAAGTTCATGTTCACGTTAAGCGCGTCCACATGACCAGCCCGCCGTCCAATCCCCACGCACGGCCACTCATAAACTTGTATCACAAAGTTGTAAATTTTCATAAAACAACAAGAAATTTATTGCATTTCTGCATGCAGTGCAGGGAGAGGGGAGCTGCTCTCCTGCACTTCTTCCTCCCGCCGCCATTTTCTTTGTCCCATTAAAACAATGAGCTCCAAACCAGAGGAGAGAATTTCACCTTATAGATATTCTTTTCTTTTTGCTCACATGAAATGACATCATCAGTCTCCCTCAATCTAGGAGTGTCAAAGGGTTGCAAAGTCAGGATGGAAGAAAACCTTAAAGCCTGGTTCAATAATCTGCAGATAAACCTGCTCTGAGCTGAGCTTTAATGTAACATAAGCAGGGTTTGTCAGAATGCAGCTGTGCGCTTTT